GTTAAAACTTAGTTACAGTTTGGCCCGTTTGGTTTATTACAATGATGAATACCAAAATTCAAGCAATTAGATGTAAACTCACTGGTGCCAATTATGCCTATTGGGCCAGTGTTATGAAGAATCTCCTTCTTGGTAAAAAAAAATAGGGCTATGTTTCTAGTTCTATTCCTTGTCTATCGGATTTGAAGCAAGAAGGATATATGACTTCCTGTGATAATGTCCAAATTCTGACCTGGTTTCATAATTCTGTGGATGACCGTATTGGAATGATGTTTTCCAAATACAGTTGCGCCAAGGAGGTGTGGGATTATTTATTGGGTGTGTATTAGTTGTCCAACTTTGCCAAACGGTATGAGTTGGAAACAACCATTCAGAGTGCTCGTCAGCGGGATCAATCTATTCAGGACTTCTACATTGAGATGATAGGTCTCTGGGATCAGTTGGCTCTAATGGAAATATCTAACCTCAAGGCACTAGACGCTTATGTTGAGTTTCGAGAGCAAGGTCGTTTAGTGCAATTCTTAGCAGCTCTCTTCCCTTAGTATGAAGCTATTCGTGGTGGCATCCTTCATCGGTCTCCTCTCCCCTCTGTGGATGCTATTGTTCGTGAGCTCCTCTCTAAGGAAACCCGCCTTAAAACGGCTAGTCAGATTCTGTCTCCATCTGTCTTCTTGGCTCCTACTCAACCTCCTCTGTTGTCAGCCCCACCATCTTATTAGCTTCAGGGCCATGCGAAGTCCAAGAAGGGGCCACTAGCCTCTGATGAGTGTGCCTTTTGCCATCAGAAGGGCCATTGGAAGAACAATTGTCCCAAGAAGGGCCGTCAGTCTGCCCAGTCTTCTCAGCTGTCTTAGCCACAGTTCCGAGGTCCTGTTCCGAGTACTTTTCGCCCTCTTGCTATTTATACTGCATCTGCTCCGGCTTCTGATCCTGACTTGACTTCCTTGAGTGTCCAGATTGCCCAACTTCAGCATCTCTGGTCCACCTCTCAGTCATCTTCCTCTACCTCTGCTCTCACCTCTTTTCATTCAGGTTTGCTTGGGTCCTCTTCAGGTATTCCTTCCTTTGTCTGGTTTTTTGATTATGGTGCCTCTCATCATATGACTCCTTACCTTTCCTTACTCCAAAACTATATCCCTCATCCCGTTTCTGTTACTATTAATACTACTAATGGGTCTAGTATGTCCGTCCTATCTATTGGGTCTGTTTTACCCTCTGCCCTGTCTGCTGTTACTATTTCCTCTGTTTTTTATGTTCCTCAGCTGTCTGTCAGCTTGCTTTCTATCAGTCAGCTTAATGCTTTTGGTTTTGATGTTATCTTTTTTTCTTCTGTCTGTTGTGTGCAAGATCAGGTGTCCAAGAAGCAGATTGGGACCGACCGTAGAGTTGGAGATCTCTATGTAGTGGAAAGCCTACATGTTCCTTTGTCTACCTCTCCTGTTGCACTTTCATCTTTTCAATTAGATTCTCAGTCGAGTCAGTTTTATTTATGGCATTCTCGCTTAGGTCATTTGTTTGTTGACCGCTTGCGGTTTTTAGCCCAATCAAGATTGTTAGGTAAAGTTTCTACTAGTCAAATTAATGAGTGTTGAGGATGTAAACTTGCTAAAATGACAGCTTTACCTTTTAATAACAGTACTTCTATTTTTACTTCCCCTTTTTCTTTTGTCTATACTGATGTCTGGGGACCTTCTCCTGTTTTCACTAAAGGGGGTTCTGCGTACTGTGTCATTTGTTGATGATTGTATCCGCTATACGTGGGTTTATCTTACGGCTCATAAATCTGGCTTCTACCAGATATATCGTACCTTTCAGTTTATGATCACTACACAGTTTGGGGCAACAATTAAAGTACTTTGGTCTGACTTGGGTGGGGAATACTTTAAAACTAAATTCTATGAGTATGTGGCTACATTGGGCACCATTCACCAAACCTCCTATACTAATACCCCTGCCCAAAATGGTCATGCTGAGCGTAAACACCGTAATCTCCTTGAGACAGCTCGATCTCTTCTTCTTTCTGCCTCTGTTCCGGTACCATTCTAGGGTGAGGCAGTTCTTACCGCTGCTTTCCTCCTTAATTGCATGCCGACTCCCCTACTCTCCGGTCACTCCCCTTATAAGGCTCTGTATTCCCAACCTCTTAATTATTCCCTCCTACGTGCCTTTGGGTCTGCTTGTTTTGTCTTCCTTCCCTGTAAAGATTGGACCAAACTCAGTGCCCGGTCTGTCTTGTGTGTCTTTTTGGACTACAGTCTTACTTAGAAAGGCTACCACTGTTACGACCCTGTCTCTCGTCGCCTCTACGTCTCTCGTCATGTTGCCTTTCTTGAATGTCTGTCTTACTTTTAGCTTCCCCCTCTCACTGTTCCCTTTTCCAAAGAGGATTTGGTTCTCATTGACCCATTTCCTTCTGCGGTCCTATCAGATGAGTATATCGCCACTGTTCCTCTTGAGGCCATTCCTACTTCTCCGTCTACGTCACCTATGGCTCATTCTCCTTCGACTGCTTCTTCTCCTCCGTTGTTAGTTTATTCTCATCGCAAGGCTCCCCCACCACCAGTTGTCTCTACTCTTGTTGCTGCTCCTTCTACTTCTGACGACTCTGATCCTGCTGCACACCGCTATCCTCCTCATGAGCGTCGTCCTCCAAACAGGTTGGGTTGGTCTAATACATGTTTTTCTGCTTCCTATCGTACTTTTTTGTCTGCTATTCACTCTTTTTGAGAACCTCAGTTTTACAAGGAGATCTGTCAATATACTCATTGGGTTCAAGCTATGGAGGATGAGTTGTCTGCTTTACAGAACACTAGTACTTTGGAGTTGGTTTCTTTGCCTACTGGTAATAATCTGGTTGGTTGCAAATGGGTCTATAAAGTCAAGACTCATTCTGATGGTTCTCTTGAGCGCTACAAAGCTCGTCTAGTTGCCAAAGGTTTCTCACAGGAGTATGGTATTGATTATCAGGAGACCTTCGCTTCTGTTGCCTAGATCACTACTGTCCGTACTTTGATCTCTATTGCTGCTGTTCATTTTTGGCCTTTTTATTAGATGGATGTTAAGAATGCTTTTCTTAATGGCCATCTCACTAAGGAGGTTTACATGCGTCCTCCTCTTGGCCTTCGCCATTCCTCTAGATAGTTTTTTCGCCTTTGGCGTGCTCTGTATGGTCTAAAGTAATCTCCTCGTGCTTGGTATGATCGCTTTCAGATTACTGTTACTGAGCTTGGGTTTCATTCTTGTGCCTAGGACTCTGTTTTATTTCTTCTCCGTACCTTTGCTGGATTTGTTGTGTTGTTACTGTATGTAGATGATATGATCATCATTGGTTCTGACTTTTCTGCTATATCTGAGATTAAGCAGCATCTTTTCCGCACCTTTGAAATGAAAGATTTGAGCCCATTGCGGTATTTCCTTAGTTTTGAGGTAGCTTATTCTCCTAAGGGCTACTTTCTCTCTCAGGCCAAGTATGTCAATGAGGTTATTCATCGTGCCGGTCTTATTGACACTAAGATTTCTGATACCGCAATTGAGCTTAATGTAAAGCTCAACACTACTGATGGTGTTCTTTTGGACGATCCTACTCTATATCGAGAGCTCATGGGTTGCTTAGTCTATCTGATGGTTAGTCGTCCTGATTTTGCCTATACTGTTCATGTGGTTAGCCAGTTTGTCTCTGCTCCTCGCTCCACACATTGGGCTGCCTTGGTTCGGATTTTTCGCTATCTCCAAGGTACTATATTTCAAGATTTCCTGTTATCCTCTACTTCCTCTCTGGATTTAGTGGCCTATGATGATTCTAATTGGGCCGGTGATGTTACTAATCATAAGTCCATGTTTGGTTTTTGTATGTTTCTTGGCGATTCCTTGATCTCTTGGAAAAGTAAGAAACAAACTGTTGTTACTCGCTCTACTGCCGAAATTGAGTATCGTGCTATGACTCATGCTACTACTGAAGTTGTCTGGCTTCGTTGTCTTCTCTCTGACTTGGGCGTTCCTCAGTCTTCTCTGACCTCTTTCTATTGTGACAACCGCAGTGCTATTCAGGTTGCCCACAATACTGTTTTCCATGAACAGACCAAACACATTGAGATTGATTGTCACTTTGTTCGATAGTATCTGCAGTCTGGCTCTATCTCGCTTCCTTTTGTCTCCTTGGCTTTGCAACTTGCGGACTTCTTTACCAAGACTCACACTACCGCTCGGTTTTAATTTCTTCTTAGCAAACTCTCAGTGTTTTCTGCTAAAACACCTTAAGTTTGAGCAGGGGTGTGAGAATATATTGTGTATATATGGCATTGTGTATATTAGGAATTAGGCACGTATTAGGCAAGATTGTTGTATTGTGTATATATGGCATTGTGTGTATATATGGCATTGTATATATTAGGAATTAGGCACGTATTAGGCAAGATTGTTGTGTTTCCTTTTTTCAGTCATAGATTTAGAGCTATATAATGTAAACAAACAAATTGAATATGCCGACTTTATTCAGAAATCTTACACATTCGACCATGGCACATGAAAAAGTCCAAAACCATATGAAGTTACTATTATGAGTACTGTATTTTGAGAACATCAAAACTTCGGTTCTTTATGCATTATTGTGGCCTCAAAACCATATGCATTTCTTATATCCACGGACACCATAAAACTCTACAATAAGACAAATCATAATCAGCCCTAAATGAGGAGCTTTTTGCACTGCCTACATCAGTTTGGTAACAGAGCTCATATGAGTGTTCTTCACATTTGTCCCACTTCCATTTCGTCCTAAATTTGGCCTACTTATTATCATTTTAGCATGTTTAACTTTATAAATTTACTTCATGCTACTGGTGCATTAATCAAGCTGCATTGTGTGTGGCCAAACAATCTTCATTGACTTGCCTTGTTTTATCTTCAGTATGAGTAGATGCCATATTTATATTTTGAGTAATACTTTTTGTGACATTGCTATGACAAGATTGGCTTCATGGTTTTTCTTTGTGCTAATCCAGAGAAAGAAATTTATCTTTCCGAAGAATTAGAGATGTTGGTGGACAATCAAATTGAAGAGCGAAGCAACACCATAACATATCTTCCTCAAGAACTGATCATTAACATCCTTTCAAGGCTTCCTGCTCAACTGCTTCACGAATCTGTGAGGTCTGTCTGCATGCGTTGGGAATATTTAGTTAATGATCCTTTTTTCATTGAGGCACACCTCCGACAATCAAAGACGGGTATTTTCATTGAAGTTATCGGTTCTCCCGGGAGTTCCTGTTTCCTTGAGACAAAAGGTGGCGAGTTCAGTTTCAGTTTGACTTATTACAAACATGAATTTCCTGGAAGAATGATAGCCAGTTATGATGGTATTGCTTTGTTTATTGACCTAATCGATATTACAATTTTGTATGTTGTGAATCCTGTTACCATGGAAAAAACAAGGCTTCCTTCTCTCAATGAGCCTCCGAATCCTCTGTACTATTGTAGCTGTATTGCACGTGGTCGATCTACCAGGCAATACAAAGTAGTTCATTCCTATGAAGATCTCAGTAGAGAATATCATTGGGTTGTGTTGACAATTGGTATTGATAATTCTTGGAGAAGAATCAGTAGTGAGCAGACATTTATGCGTAATATGGAGTTGGACAATTTTCCGGTTTCTGTTAGTGGGGTGATTTATTGGACCGACTATGATTTTGAAGAAGAGGATGGAATCGTTTACTTTCTTGCGATGGACGTGGATGATGAAACTATTCGCAAAGTACCTATTCCACCAAGTGGATTGTTAGAGACTTGTGCTTATACGAAGATGGGAAATTATCTTTCTGGTTTTGTAACAGCTCCACTCAGTTTGCAATTTGAAATATATGTTTTGAAAGACTGGCTCAGGGGAGAATGGGATAAAGTCTATGAGATCAACATTGATGCTCCTCAGGGTCTGTACTTTCCTATTGGATGGCTGAACGATGGTGAAATGCTTGTTTTGGAGGGCTTGACAATGGAGGGTGATATTTATATGGCTTATGATGTCAAGAAAAATGAGACGCGTGTTTTGAACTTAAGCATCTGTGGTCCTCGCTTCTACACTCATGTTCACACCAACACCCTAGTTTCATATAGGATGCCGTGATAGTGCCTGGAGGTAAGTCCTTTCTTTTTTAGTGTGTGACAGTTATCGGATTGTGTTTGTGTTTCTTGTTATGACAAAACCTTCATTTGCCCCTTTGTTTTCCGTTATCGTTTGTCGTGCAAACTTGTTCTGAGATGTTGGGATTTTGATAGTTATATGACAATATGCTTATATTTGAGACTGGATTTTATAAAGCTTGGCTAGCTTCATTTGCATTGACAATTTTTGGGCAACAATTGGTTGCATGAGTAGGCCTAAGCTATTATCTATATGATCTGTTGTGTTTCTCGCATCACCGTGCCGCAGCTTTGTTATTTCAGAGGTGAAAAGGTTATTTTTGGAATTTTATTTTAAAAATGTGTTCTCAGCTGAATGAGATCTATTTGTAGGGATTGAAGTTCAATGTTTCATAGAGATCGTGTCACATTTTTTTTTATTTATTGCAACTATATTTTGATGTTGAATTTGGTATCTGATGGAAAATTTGCATTCATAGTTGTGGATCCTTGTTCATGTGTGAAGTTTAATGTGTCCATCATTAGGCCAAAAGCCCGTGGCCCAGCCGATGCCCACCTGACTTGCTAGGCTTTTACCTGGTTCGGGTCCTTAACTCGAGCGAGCTGGGTCAACTTGAATAAGGCTTGGGTTGGGCTGGGTATGTGCCCAAGGGTTGAAGTCAGGCCCAGTCTATTGGCCCGTTAGAGGTAGTCTGTCGGCCTAGCTTGTGAGCCTAGCAAAAAATAAGAGAAAATAAGAAGGGAAAGAAAGCCCAAAATAGGCCCAAATCATGGACATGTCATCAATAAATGGATATATAGCTTTTCTTTTTTTGAAAAAAACTGATTTGAAGCTTTAAAAAAAAGAAGCTTATTTTATAATATATACTTGTATATCTCAAACTCAACTCAAAATAACACCTTTTAATTTTTTTGGTTGGAACTAGGTTAACATTTTAAACTTATATTTGAATTTTTTGAACTAAAAAAGCAAATGATCTGAAAACTGATTTTTTATTTTTATTTTTTATATCAAATACTTTTAACTTCTTAAAATATTATTGCTTAAACTAAATAAATTGCAAATTAATTTTGTCAAATAAAAATTTTAATAAAAAATTGGCACTCAAAACAAGCATGAAAATAGAGCAATTATCAACGATAGTGATGTGATTATGTCATGTGAACGTCATGAATTCACAGTTATTGATTTGTATGAGTCCACGTAAATCTTATACAGATTTGTGATTAAAATGAGTTTGGAAATTGTTTCAATGAACACAATATTCAATCCTGTCACCATTTGGAAATGAGGTTACTATGCATAACTCTACTATGTTTCCATGTGATTATGCTTAATGTGGAAAGTACTTTTATGTTGTTGTTTTTTTGATCTTATATTTTGTATAAAGCGTAACAGAAATTTATAATCATGTTTTGTTTTGTATATATCTGTCGACTGAAAATATTATTTGCAAATTTAAGAATGATATTTAATTTGTATACATAGTATGACATACATGCAAAATTTTTGTAATAATGTGATAAAATAATTTTTTTTTTATCAATTTTTATTATACATAATGGGTGTTTGGGAAGTTACTATTTTAGTAGGCTATTTTAGTTTTTCACTATTTTAATAGGATAAAATTTTTGTGTTTGGGAAGATGATTAGATTTTTTTATAGTTGGTTGTGATGTTTGTGAGAGAAAAAGTAAAATAATTATGGGTTTGATGTGACATTTTATCTTATTAAGACATCCACAATGGGATGGCTAAAAGAGTGTATTAAGGTATGTTATATGACAAAAAGTAATAAAAGTGGAGCGAAAAAATGTTTGTTAAGATGTGTTAAGAGTTTGTTAATTTTGGAGAGTGAGTGATGGTGCAATGGATGTGTTAAGGAGTGTTTTAAGGTGTATTAAATATATATATATATATATATATATATGTGTATATAATAAATAAAATAAATAAATAATTTAGTTTAATAAAAAATTTCAAGTCCAAAATTAAATTTCAAGTCAAAAATTTTTTTCCAACAAGTTTAAAAAAAAATAAAATAAATTTGCCGTTGAACGGTCAACTGGCAGGACATCCGGCCGGTCAACCAGTAAGACCAAAAAACGCACTCCTCTGCTAGCTAAAACGCTCGCTGCAGATAACAAACAAATTAACACCTGACACTAACACACACCACTAACACACGTTAACGGATCTATTGCAGCACCAAACAACAAACATTACTTGTTAAAACTTAACAACTGACACTAACACTATCGTTAGCAGCTCCACTGTGGATGCTCTTAGCTATTTTAGCCTATTTTATTTTATTTTTATAGATTTTAACTTAAAAAAAATTAAAATAACACTTGCCAAACACCACCATAGTTTGGCTCTCGCTTGGCAAAGTTTGGCCCTCTATTAACAAATTTTTTGCGTCTGCCACTGAATCTCTGATCAATTTTTATATTTGTAGACTTATTCTTCATAAATCAATGTGTCCACTTCTTTTCTATAGTTATTGCTCATTTTTTTTTTGGGTAAAATTCCAACAATGTTACCAACTTAGAAAAAAAAAAATTTAAATTTTGAAGTAAATGATTCATATTTAAAATTCATAATAATAACTTTGATGATGAAAATAATTTTGATAAATAGGTATTTTTATGAAATGTAATGATGAGGCTTGTTTTGTTATATCCAATGGGAGAGATTATTTAACTCTTCTATTGGTTTGAAATAATTATGATAAATATGCATGTAAAATTTAAATACGTGTAAATTTTAGATTATTCTGTCAGTTGTTTAAAGTAATTTAAATCTGAAATAAATGAATCAATTTAAATACAAAATTGATTTAGGAATCTAGTATTTAAATTAGTTTAATTTCACAATTGTCCATGTGGATCGATACCTGGACTTGCCATTATTATAAAAAAATTTGGTATAGTTTAGTGTTTAATTTTGGTATGTGTAACGACCTATCAAATTTTGGCACCGTTGCCGGGGACTTCTGGCGAAATTAATTAAGTTAAAGTTATATTTTTATTTTAATTTTTAGTTTAGGATTTTATGTTTTTGTGTTCCTAAGTGTGTAGAGCGTTTGAAAGTGGAGCTATCACCGAAGTGCAAGCGGAGCGCAACTGCACCCTAAAAAAAAAAAAGAAAAAAAAAGACCGTAGCACTAAAGTGCTAAAAACGAAGCAAAGACTTGCAAACAAAGCACCAAAGTGCTATAAAGAAAGACAAATCTCACTTGGAGGTTGGAGACAACGTCTACACGTCAAGTATCCACAAGACGAGTAAAGCGTTTTCGTTCAATCGCTGTGAGTATTCTCTATTTTGGTATTTTTGCTTACATAACTTAGTGCACAGAGTTGGAATTTAGTGTGTGTGAGTTGTGTATGCACGGGCGCCATTCTTGTCGCCCTGAATTGTGGAGTTTGGACCTTGAACTAGAAAGGACTCTTTGGAAACTTAGAGCTTTTGCCCGTGTTCCTAAGCTTGAATATTCATATCCATACTTTGAGCCATTAGAGATGGAAAATCCAAATGTTCCGAATGGGCCCAACCCCTTAAGGATTATTTCACACCTACTGCATATACATCACCATCATATTTCTAAAAATTTGCTCTACAGTGAGGATCTAGAATTTTACAAATGAGGCCTTAATGTTGCGATTGTTCCTATTCTCATTAAAGGACAAAGCCAAACACTAGCTGAACTCCTTACCTGCTAATTCAATCACAACTTGGGACCCATTACAGCAACGGTTCTTGGAGAAGTACTTTCTTATCTGTAAAACTAACCGACTTAGGCGAGCCATCACCAATTTTGCTCAAATTGATGGCGAGCAATTTCATGAGACGTAGGAAAGACTTCGTGACCTTCTCCAACAGTGTCCCCACAACCAAATGCCTGATTGGCAACTTGTGCAGACCTTTTACTATGGCTTAACTGAGCCTCACCGCCAAATGGTGGATTCCTCTTGTGGTGGGACATTCATGTCCAAAAATAATGCCGAGGCATGGCAATTATTTGAGAACTTAAGTGATAATTCCCTTCACCATGCCTCCGTAGCTCGGCAAGTCCGGCAACCAGTAGTTGGAGCCCCGAAGAGAGGGGGCATTTATGAGGTCGGGAAAAACCTAGAGTTAGCCCAACAAATAGAGGCATTGTCCCACAAAATGGACTAATTATTAGCTGCGAGACATGCCCCTACACAGCAAGATCAGCCTTAATTTCACGAGGCATGTGTTATTTGTGCGAGCCTTGCTCATGACTTGAGTGAGTGCCCTCCGGTATCATAATTTCCAGAGTTAGTCCAAGAGCATGTAAATGCGGCTCAAGGATTCTCCAACCCGGGTAATGACCCATACTCCAACACATACAATCCGAGATGGAAAAATCACCCTAATTTTTCATGGAGACCTCCTTCACAAGGCACTTCTTACAACCCTCCACCACCAAGGCAGAATTTTAATAATTTTGCCAACCAATCTTCCTACCAACCACTACAACCTTATGGACCCCCACAACCTTACCGGCAACCACAACCCCCACCTGTTCCTCAAGGCAACTCTGCCTTTGAGACTCTAGTGTTAGAAGTTCTCTCAGAACTTAAGGGGTTAGAACCAGTAGTTCACTCCCATACTCACTCCATTGCCAAGCTAGAGGCCCCATTAGGTCAAATGGCTAACAACATGAATAGGAAAGGGAGGGAAAATTACCAAGTCAAACAGTGGCTAACCCTAAGGGTCAATACAGGGCAAAAGGGTAGGGTGGGAATGGAAAGCACCATGAGCAGGTGCAAGCGGTAATTACCTTGAGAATTGGGAGGGAGTTAGAGCCTCAACCAGTTGCATCTGATACAACTAAGGTTAAAAATGGTGACCACAGTGGTCTACCCAATGAGAGAAAGGGTGAGGGGGAAACACCTAAGAGGGATGACTTAGTCCCTAGCACTTCACATGAGCCTGAGGCACCATTTCCCCAATGCCTTGATACACCATCCCCTTTCAATAAGAAGGCAGCATCCATGAGAAGCAATGATAGAGGTCTTTAAACAGGTAAAAATCAACCTCCCCTTGTTGGAGGCGATTAAGCAAGTACCCTCCTATGCTAAATTTCTGAAGGACCTTTGTACGCAAAAGTGTAAATCTACGACACACGTGTCCTAGAAGGTCATACTTACAGAGCAAAAGCTCTATCTTGTTGAATGA